CCAGGTCACCGTTTTCAACTGGAGCTTAGTGAGACAATCATATGGTGATGCCTAAGTGGGGCGTTCTCATGCGTCTTTAGATCGGAAGCCAAAAGTGCTTTCCTTTGAAGGGAAATCAACACGTTGGTTCTAAATTATATATATATATATAAATATATATATATATATATACTGATGTCGCACTACGCGAAACAATCGGCTGCTTACGTGACTACATTACCACAAAGTATATAGCAGTGTCCATTATATGCTGTGTGCAATTACAGTGTATTCCCTTGAAAATTAATGGATAATTTTCGGGAATAAGAGTATACTCTCAGCGAACCATTGTGTGATGACTGTCAGATTGGCCATTATGTAACGCGTAATTGGAAACCGTATCAGAAGCTGTTATATCTGCTGATTCGCCGGCCTGTGGTATCTGCTGCTGACCCGCTCCAGTGCCTAGTGTCGGGGAGAAAAGACTCACGGAAGGGAACACAATAGCTATATACCAACAAAGCGGTTACGAGAGCGCGAGTGCGTGCGAGTGCGAAAAGTACAACGGCCTCAAGCTTTTTATTGGAAGGACACTGTCTGAACTTGGTCCACTGCTGACGCACGCGGTCTGGCTTTGGTACGAGGCTGTGAAGCGCCGCATATTGAGGGGGCGTTGTCTGTCTGAGCTGAGAGTCTCAGTAGATTTCGGGCATTCAGTGATTGCTCTCAGGACTGTGACCTTCTTGATAGGTTGGTTCTCTGTCGGGTTGAGTTAATTGCTTACTACTTAGCGAACAGGATATCTTGGGTATATCTGAAGTAGTCCATATGTTATATTCCACCAAGCACGTTCCTTAAAAAAACTCGTTTAACTGTAACATGTTAGTTCTCTAACTAAACTTCAAGCCTTCGGGAACAGTACTAGGGTGCCTTTACGGTATGCATCGGAGGTCAAGGTAATCCCATTGCGCATATTTCGGAATTTTTACTGTTGGTCCTCCCTTATTCATTACTTTCATTGGGAGAGATTCACAGATTGTAATAAGCTCGCTTGCCTGGAGTTTCAGATTAACATACATTAAAAAGATGATGTTTGGTTCCAGAGAGGGCTTAGTAGTTGCCCAATGTACACAGTTAATCGTCGCCATCTGATAAGTGCCACTCAGTAACTCCCGATAAGTCTCACTAAAGTCCGCCACTCATCGTCTCATATGTTTGTGATGGAGCGAACACCAATAGCATAAAAAACTAACCATGTTCAGCGTGTCCTCAAAGCCCGGTTTCCTCCCGTTGTAGCAGCTTCGTAGACTATTCTTTTAGGCGCATTCCACCTTGACGAGGCACCCTGAGTCACCTAGACACAAAAAACTTCTGCTTTCATTGTATTACCTTAATCTGTTTTGATTGTAACAGCGTTTCACATACTCAAAGATTGATGGATGATATTACCGCAGACTTTTACATTTAGACAAAGCATGTCTGTATTCTGGGGCAGCTTCCTAAAATAGTCATTCTTTGCACCTCACCATGGAAGACGTTCGGTCCGTTGCCACGTATTTCTGAAATAATAGCTGGAACAGCTGCACGTACCCGTAGTTTGGTCCGACTCACACACCTTTTAGCGGGTTTGTTAACTGTGGTGAAGACCATTGAGCCAAACTAACTACGGTAACTATTAAAATCGATCCCATTCTAAATGTCGCAGTCTCTAAAAGGGACGAGTATGCATAGAGCAATATTTCGCCACGTGCGATAGAACTCCCATAGGACTTAGGTACAACTCTCAAACCCTAATGATACGTAGCCACATTACGTTAAATTACACCCGTGTCCGAAGGTCATCCGCTCTAAATGACCGAATCTCAGGTCGATTGGACGGGTGACTCATGGATGAGCTGCAGACCAAACGAAGGCACGTCCTGATTAGTCTGTGGCAGCCAATGAACATCGGACTCCCTCGACGTTTCTCGCCTGCTTGCGATTTTAGCGTGACTTTGCGGAACACTCCGTGATAACCCTATGAATACAAGTGAAATAAATTTACTGTCTCTTAAAAAAGGCTGTTTCAAGCCACCGTGCCATGTTAGTACACCGTAGTGGGACAGGGAGCCAAGGTTCGATATTGGAGTTGCACTACGTCCGCAGAGTAAAACACAGAGACAACCTGTCTTCAGCATGCAAATATTTACATGTTCATACAGTCCACCTTGAAACATGGCATCACAGAACGCTACCAACAAGCAACTAAGGCCTAAAACCAGATACTCTCAGTTAAGGGTTATCACCCAAATGAAGAAACAATATGGATCACAAGCACCGTACATCAGTGTCCATTTCAAATCCATCAGGAAGATAGGGTACTCGCGTGATCTCTATCTGCATGACGTGCATGTGAGTAGCAGTAATACCAGCCTCACCTTACATAAAACACTCCAATGTACCGCGGGTAACCTCTAACAGAGGATACGAATCTGTCACAAGACGAAACTGAAATTACCCTAAATCAGTCGAATCTACTAGTGCTGAGTTATACATTTGGGTGATAGGTCACCATAAGTAACATCTGTTTCCTGATCAAAGGGAAGATGAGTTTACCTTCTGAAACCGGACAGATAAAACATACCATTTCAGAAATAACATTGGCGAATACAGTGACCAAACAAGGACACAAGTGGCACAAGCGACGATGAGGTCTTCAAATTTGCCGACTTCCTCCGGTTGTCCGTTAAGAAATAAAACACCATTCAGTATAAAAGAGACGCGTTGTCTGTTGTGTGGCCACCGCAGTTGTCTAACGACAGTGCTTCATCACTGGAGTGACAATTTTTGTGACAGGCAACGCAACCTCTTACTCCATTAGACAGATCTATTTACATTTAAACATCTGGACATTCCTCGAACGTTCTACTGAACACTGGCTTCAAGCACCTCCGTTGAGAAGATGGGTAATCCCAGCCGGTTTCGGTACCTGCACAAAAAAGTATGCATCGAAGAGTTTTCAGCAACCTCATGAAAATATACTGCGATATCTCAAATGTCGTACCCACTGAAAATTGAGGCCATCTTTGTACGGCACATTCAGTTGAAGAACATAATAAACGAGAAATTCACTTGAGTCTCTCGTGAAACCAAATTGATTGGCAAATGAGTGTATTTGCCGTAAGAATCCTCTTCACATAAATATCGTATGAATCCGGTGGAATAATGAAGCGGACACCAGAAGGCATCCAAACCCCAAGTGTTCAGATTTCTTCCAGTGAGAACCTTATCAACCTGGAATATGCGGACGACATTGTTCTCACTTTTGAAAAATGGCAGAAAGCACAATCGTCATTAAGAAGACTGACCCAGGTCATAGTCCTTCAGCACGGGCTTCAAGCCCACGGGACGTGAAGACTTTGAACACGTATTTGAGAACTCGAGGAGTGACACTAAAATTTGTGGAGCGCTATAGGTATCTGTGAAGTTGCACTAGCTCTAATGGAAGTGTGACAGACGAAGTCAACGCACAGATCTCGAAGGTCAGTTGTGCTTGCCAATTCGCGTCACCCGTGGCATCAAAAATGCGTTTCATTTGGCCTCAAAGGATGCCTGTATCAGATCAAAGTACGAGGTGTAACGCTGTACGACAGCGAGTCTTGACCAATTCGGTTGGAGGATCTCAGATGTATTCAGGTCTTTAAACACCGACGTATTAAAATGATAGCTTGAATCGGATGGAACCGAAGAATTCGTTATGAGGTGATCAGGAGACGGGCTTTTGGCAAAGCAAAGGGCACTTTCCTCAAAGAACGCAAGATACGTTGGACCGGCCATGGTGCTCAAATAAGAGCTGTTTCAGTGGCTGATTCGGAGTGGCGGAAACCTAGAGGTAAGCATAACTCGACAGTACAGAAGCGAATGGAGAATGTTACGAAGAACTTGGGCGCTGTTGTTGCTGTTCGCCCTCCAGGATGGGGCCCACGTAACATTCCATGTACTTGGATGGAGAGACTGAATGATATGGCGGCAAAGTGATGTCGGTGACTTAGATGATGTCAATCTCCACTCAGATTGTCTGACTGAGTGCTGGTAGCTAACTCGGACGCTTGCGGTAGGCTAGCCACTGGTTCCCTTACCACTGTATTTCTTTCTTCTTTCCGTTGTAAAGCCTGGTTTAAATTGACATGCTTGTAGAGCAATGAACTACCGGTTTGTCGTCAATGATGATAATGCATTCCGTGTGCTTTCAAAACCACTTGCATAAAATCCAAAACCTTGCCCTAGATGGCGTGGGAATGCAGAACAAGCGCTGATATCGGCACAAGCTGAGCTAGATGCGAGAAACATGAAGTACACCAATGGACAGCCAGCAACCATTGCCTTTTGAGAGGGTCAATGCGTTCAAAAATATACAAAAAAAAATTGGCTGCTTTAGGTTTCAGTGCACACTAGGTAGTTTCTGATGAGTTTGTAAAGACCGATCAGGCTCAACCACATTAGAGCGGTCTTAAGTATCAGGGGAAGTTTTTCAAGAAGCATCGTTGCACCGGAAACTATATGAAACACCAATCATTAACTTGGCTCCTTTTTTCAATCCATTTACATATTTTAAAGAACTGCAGCAGTACCTATGGTCGGGGCAACTGGTATTTCATCGTTACTTGTTGGATGTATGCCAATCAACTATCCGGGGACCGTGGATTTGCAGCCGTTGTTTGCGTCGACATACACACGAATTGATGAGTAGTTCGTAGCCATTTTACCCAGCTCTATCCATGACTCCCATGCAAACATGAATCGCCCACTAAACGATCACAGTATGGTTATTCCATGGTGAATATGTCCCAGTTTGCATCTGGTAGCCGTGTCAACTGACCCTAAACGGATCGTTTTTAAACGTCTGCTTTTATAACTCAATTACGTGCGAACCGCACGTGAATTGCCGGTGAGGAAATTCAGAGTAACGAAACGACACCAACCCAAACTATGACTGGGAGTAAATCATGTCATGAGTACATGTTGAGCGTGTGATCAAATTTATGGCCAATGTCTGTAGTCTGTACTCGGAAGTAATCAACTATGTTCAGCTGTCGAAATCCGAGAAGATAATTTGCTGTGTTCCTGAATGTGCTGCAGACATCATGAAGAACTGGATCGCCTCCAGCTACGAACTACTGCGTTATGTTGTTGAGGATGGTGGGCCACAAACTACAGGTTTAATTACCTCGGATGCAACGTTGCCGACAGTGCCTCTCAAGGACCTACGATCAGGCTCTCCTGTTGCAGATACTTCCACCAATAAACTGACTAACTCCCCCGCTGTTCTGACAGCAACGTCTGAGCCTTTGAAAACCCATAGTTATGGATTTCAGTTTTCAATGAACCTTTAAATACGCCGTTTCCGTTGTGTCCGAGTATGATACGGCTAGCGATAGGAGTCAAAGTGATGACGTGATTAATTTGGCTGCACCATGATCGGGTTCGGTCGTTACCTGAGGTTTTGCTATCAATAAAGGCTCATGGTTCGAAATTTCGAGAACTGGAAGCTGGGAGACAAAAAGCAGAGATTTTAGCGCATGAAAATCGTCAGAGCAACCACCACCTCAGTGGTTCTCGATGTAACACTACAACAACAGTACGACGATAAATATATGAATCTCCGAACGCTTCCTGTTAGCCGTGATTTTCGACAAACGCCCTAACCTAGACAGGATCCACCTTCTGACTTGCAACGTGCCAGAAGCCTCAAGATACTGAGTCACCGCATAAACCCAGAAATATCGAAGACCACCACGAGAACCCATTAACGACGATACGCTCCAAAGCACCTGAGTTTCTCGATCTCATCGCCCGCTCTACACGAACGGAGCCTCCAAATACCTAAGAGACATAGTTCACTTAATTCTCACTTAAACCTTCCCGAAAATTCTACACACAGAAAGCACTACACATTCAAGAGGCCCTGGTATTTTCTAGCTATGTGGATCGATGATAATCCGAGAGACCCCGCGGGGATCCAAAGAAAGTATCGATGCTGAGATGTATCGAACGATTGGGATTACGTACCAGAAGTCGAAAGCCGACCCCACACATCTAAAATCCGAAACAAGTTACGTCAAGCTACCTGCGGAAACATGTTACGAATTACCGGGCAGTCAAAATACTGAAAAGTAAACCACAGTACCTAGAATTCCCAAGAAAGTGATCTGGATGGGAACTACTCGAGCTGGATCCACTGAATGATCGGAGAAAGTCTACATAGAGCTTTCTGTGAGTTGGACCGTTTTTTCTAGGCAGATACAAACCATGTGAACGACTATGTCAAAAAGTTATCCGTCGCTTAGAAGAGACTTCGATTCACTTACGAAATTGGGGACCTAGGGTTTTAAAGTATATTTATGATACACACGCCGGACAAAATCTATTTGACCGCGAGAACACCTGTATTCCAAAACATTGACTGACTACTTAGAGCACATCCTTTTTGTGGATTTAGTGTTTTCTCAACGGGACCGAGCACCACTACTTTGCTTCAAAGATTGATGTGGTCCGAAATGAAGGATGGTCCCTCTTCAGAACCTTGAAATTCCATAAAAGTTTTACGAATCCGGCCCACATCGCTCAACTTGGAGATGATTTCTTCAGAAAGAATAAGCGAATCAACACTATGGACAGCAACTGCTGCCCTAAAATAGTGATTGAAGCTCATGATACCATGAAAGTTTGACATGGTGGATTCCAATCTACTGGCGTCCAGAAACGGGAAAAGTGATTAGGAAGCCTCAAACCAAACTGTTAACAAGTAAGCTCAAGACCATGTATTAAAACAAATTAATTGCTCACTTAGCATTCATCATTATCAATCAACAGTGATAAAGAAGTATTTGTTGTGTCTGATTTCCAAAAAACAATGGTATAAAAGCACTTCACAGGGATGAACGATTTCCAGTGGCAGCTAGTATTGTTCAAGAATGATGATTATCTTGAATAAAGGAGCTTGGCAGAAAATTGGAAAGAATATGATAAAAATGAGGTGTCGAATTGGGGGATATGACCGGTCAGAAACGGAACCGGAACGGAACGAAATGGATGCATTGTAACGATTGTGGAAGTAGTGGCAACTATTTACAAAAATAAACCTCAACAAAAGACAAGTTATGCAAAAAAAACGACGGTCGGTGTGAAGGAAGGTAAGAATATGCTTGCAGGATCATGGGTAGAGTAGAGTGCACGAGGATTCGAGGGAACCGGAGGAATGAGTCGGTGCAAAGGACCAGGCGCGAAAGCGACGTGCAATAAGAAACTGTCAAAAAGCATATACAAAAGTAGCCGAAACTAAAAAAACAACATAATAGGCGCGAGAACATGTCCTACATACATAAATATCCAGTACATGGGAACAGGGAACGGTGGATAGCTAGAACCAGAGGGGAAAACTGAAGGGCAAAACTGAGGACAAACGGGAAGGTACCCCGGTAGGTTTACGAGAGGGGACACAGGAGGATATCTACGCCCTCAATAGATCGATTAAATCAGCGCACAGGATAGACAGAAGACAAAATTGAGTGCAGTATTCCTATGATGTTCCCAAGTTTATTCTTACTGCACAAGACAACCGGATCGTTGGAGAATGCATGCTACGGATGCGTCAGATGAAAACTGCTCGGAGCTAGATGATCGGTAGAGTAGCGAGCCAAATCATTGAACGCAGCATCGCTTCTTGTGTTTTTTCCTGTCCTTCCCCTTCTTTTCTTTCTGGAATTGAAAAAGCAGTAACAGAAAGCATGTTTCAAACTTTTACAATGGGCGAGAGATGAGAACAAACGCCAAATGCAACATTTTGTGGATAGAGAGTAGGATAAGACTAAGAACAACTGATGATTTTGTGGTGTACGAAACCCTACAAACCCGTTCAGAAACATGCGGAGGATAATGAGAAAAACCGCATATAGCTAAAACAGGCTGCGCGATAGTGTGACGGAAGGTGGGAACACTTCGAGAATTTCCATCAAAAGTATGCAAAACCCAGACAGTTGGTAGTGATTAATACAAAACGTTGCAAGCCCAGAAGAAGCTGATTTTCGAATATAATCTAGTTTCCCAACCTTTCAGCACACAGTTTTGTGCATAATTAAAAATTGATCGTGAAGTATCAGTATTTCAGAACGCGTATGTTTAGAATGCTGGTCGAAAATTTAATCCTAGTGATGAACAAATGAACGATGACCTTTTTACGCTGACGTAACAGGCTGAGGTATCGATCATTCTTGACTAATACACTAGTAGGTTATAACCAGCTGAAATCCTCGGGATAAGAAGGGCTTGGTCATTCACTTTGATGCAGTCCGTCTCTAAGTGACTGCGCTGGAAGATAATCTGTTAAGAAACACCTAATGATCACTGAAGCCAACATTAACATCCCACTGCACAACCAAAGAGCGATTGGTCAGCAATGTTATTAGATGGCAAATCAGACGGGATGTGGAACACATCCTTATCACCTGACGTGGTGTTGGCCCCAGAATAGGATAGATGAGTCTGTGGGGACTTTCCTCCCGAATTTTTTTATTTGTGTTTTGCAGGTAGTGACGATAGCTTTTCCACATTTTTTGAAAATTTGAACTGTGGATGGCATTTCTTCAGGGTAGGTCAGTCTATATTAAAATGTCCACAGATGTAGCGCAATGTTTACCCCACACTGGGAATCATCAGCGCCGTATGTATCGTGAATCCTGAAAGGAGATTCATATCAGCCAAATCATACAGGACTTTGTCTGAGACAAAGTCACCACTCGAGTTAACACTCAGTTGAGATGCAGTCAAGGTATATTAATTCGCAATACAACAGTTAAGTGTCTACGCCCCGGCTTTATACCCTGAGTCCATATCAAGCATTCCAATAAAATGCCTGCATTCTGAGTGTAGGAAGTTCGACTCCCAACCTGAAAGCTGCAAGTTTGAAGCCTTCTGGGACGAGATAATGAACATTGCTGATTATTCCAAATTAGGGTGAAAATCTGCACGATATCATCAGGTCGTTTAGGATAAGTCGAATTAGTTTTGAAGGATGTACTGCATAGGTTTTACATGGCCATCACCACCTCTGATCATCTTTCATGAGTATTACGAATGATACATACCGAAAATACCCTAGGTCTCGTCAGAATATAGTGATTAAGACCAAAATCATCACAACAATTCCAGCCTATTTCGGAGTTATTCATAAGACAAGCGTCTTCCTACTGACTCGATCACTGTGAGGAGTCTGAAATTCATGAAGAACTTCAAGTGTTAACAAGTCTTCACTCAACCGCACGCAAAACCAACGAATGTTGCAAGCGCAATCTCTGTCTGAATGTGAGTTGCGTGGACTCTCCGGGTCTGGATAGTTAACCTGGACGTATTGATCGTTGTGTTGTCCAGGCAGACAGTGTGAGGTCAAAAACGAAATTCTTGGAATTAGATTAGCGACAAAAAAGCCACTTGGCATAAACAACCATTTGGGTAGCGCAAATGAGATACACAAGCGGATTATATCGTGAAATAGGCTTGACCCAAGTGGTCAAGTGGATAACAAGACACGAAAGGATATAGAGCTGTGTGAATAGAGGAAGATTATAGTACGACTGCAGCCAGGTACAAAGCCCACAGCTCTAACAAGTTGCAGGGCGGAGCAACAGAGCGCAGGCCCGAACGCGACCAAAACACAGGAACGGTGTAAACACACACGGTTCAACGCACGAAGAGCGTACACAAATACCAAAATATGCATCACGAGTCCACGACCAACACAAGCTAGCACCAACGGACGATGAGTCTGTAACCATTGGAAAGGCACAAATGCGAAAACCCACAATACACACTTACACCACACTGAGTTAAAGCGACATTGAACGTGTACTGTGAACGCAGAGGATACACAAGACTCAGAAGGCAAGCAAATCGTGTCCTTCTAATGATTTTTACGCTGTAGTGGAGACAGCAACAAAGAATATGCTAGCCTTCCGGTAAAGTAAGCAGTTACAAGCAACCCCCAAAATTACCAGGAAAAAGACGCCTTCGTGACTGCATTTGTCACTACTGAACTGAGGAATTCACAGGTACAAAAAAGACGATACAAATAGGTTCGGGTGTTGCATTTCGGTCCGTGTGGCAACTAAAACAGCGAATCGTACAAGATGAATTTGGGACACTTAGCTAGGGCTGGAGAGTGTTTCTGCTTAGAGTGAATGATGTGCAATAGAATGATTTCAACCGATAAGATCCGGTCAATCAACTGATTTACTGGACTGGCAGGACTGCAAAACCTGGTGGCAATTACTCAAAGGGAATTAGTATTTACTTGTTAAACTGGGGAAGCTTAAGGTACGATATTGGTAGGGATGCGACT